TGTCCTCTCATTTTGAATCTCATTCTTGGAAAAGCCTGTCCCCTGGAAGGGCTCACCTGATTAGGTCAGGCCCACCAAGGATAGTCTTTCTCTTTCAAGGTCGACTGATCTGAGACCTTAATCTTAGCTGCAAAATGGCAGCACCTGGGTTAGTGCTTGATCGAATAACTGGGAGAAGGTGTGTGTCCACTAGGGCAGCCATCTAGGGGCCACAACAAAACGAAAATGTCTGGGGGTAAATCGAGCTTTTGGCATGGCTGGAGTGAAGGGACCTCAGTGTTGTCAGGACTCACACTTTGTGTCGTTCAGCCTTGTTCCCTAGCACAGAGCCTCGTTCTCAAAAGGGCTTTCCTCACAAGCTTTTGGGAGTACATACTTTCACATTCCAGCCAGTCTGAAGAGAGGCCTCTGGTTGGCTCTGATTGCCTATTCCTAAAATCAGCCATCATGGTGAGAGGGATACGTGTTCTGATCTTCCAGAAATGGGTCACGTGCCCCTCCGGCACCCAAGGCACGAGATCACCCTGGTTCGGATGACAAAGGAATGGGGGAATTGTTCCAGAAAGATGCTGTTCAGGCAAAAGTGCCAGTCTGCTCAGTAAAACTCCAAGAACTATGGATGAGCTGTACCAAATACTAGAAGAAAGTCTGTTAGGAAAAGGCCCCTGCTTTTAGGAGACAGGTTAAGCTGTACCTGGTGAAATACTGACATGAATTTATACCACACTTGAACATCAGTGAACAGGAGAGAGACAACAGCTATTTGGGAACATAGCGGAGGCTGTTGGAAGGTCTCCTAGGGATAGCAGTGGCTGGGTATGTCTAGGCCAAGAAGTTTCTGGTAGAGAGGGAAGAGTCCGGTGGAGACATGAATGACACAATTGGCTCTAACAGAACCTGGAGCCGGCGGGAAGACAGCGGGCTAACAGTCCAAGACTGAACAAAACAAAATGAACAAAACCAAACAAAAATGTTCCCCAGGTTATGAGGTACGTGGGCCTTTTTGGTTTTGGGGCTGATTGCCGTCTCTCTAGAATAGACAGGTATGATTCTTTCCAATATGGCCATCTTACAGTGATTAAATGCACCCAAAAGATTTTTCGCCTCTGTCTGCCCATGTCATTGACCAAAAGGCTTACCTTTAGAGCAGTGGTTTTCCAAGTGTGGTCCATGGCCCAGCAGCACCATCATCACTTGGGAACTTGTTGGGAATGCACATTATCTGGCCCCACTCTGGGTCTAATGAGTCAGAAATTGGGGGGGGGGGGCGGGCAGTCGCGGGCATCTTCGACCTCCTGGTGTTTCTGATGGTGGTTGAAGTTCGAGAGCCACTGCTTCAGACCATCCATGCCTCCACCCCCCGCCTCCATAATCCACTGGGGTTTCCTTGACGGTGGCTTTGGGAAGCTATGAGAAGCAAGGCTATATATGGCAACTGTTCAAAAGCCACTAATGAGTCAAAATGTAATGGAGTGGAAGAACAACAGAGAGAAGGTGAAGTTACAGCTTAGTTGTTCTGTAGTTCACGGAGGGCTTTCATGTGGATGGTAGGATGATCGCGTAGGCACTTGTGGGTCCGTGGAGGACGGAGACCGGTGAGAAAGGCTTAAATTATAGCTATGGAGTGGCGATTCCTTTGGAGTAAGGGTTAAGTCGTAGAACAGGTTTTGGATATGGATCATTTCTTTTAAATTCAGGCTCTCCTACTAGATACTGTTAGGAGGCTGCAAAAGAAAGCCAAGGTTTCTTTCATCAAGGAGTTTATAAACTTTTTAAGTCTTCAAGACTTAAGTCAAGCCAGCGGAGTATAGAAAGACAGTCTAATGGAGTGCTGAATTGAAAAGGACCTTGAGTCAAAATAATGTGGAAGAGACTGTAAGTGGTGTGGGCAGTCAGGGGAAGGAGACATTGGCAATGAGTCATTTTCTTCTCTGGACAGACGATGAAACTGTCAGCCTCGCATAATTTCCCAAGTCTGATGGCAGAGTATTGGACACTCAGTTTCAAGAAGGCCTCTTTCCTGCTGTCTCTCTTTTCTTTCCCAGTTTGCTAAAGTTTGTCAAAACTGCTAAGTCAAAGTGAGGATTTCTATTTCGAGACTTTGAACTTGAAGGATTATTAAAGTTGTTGGTTATATGAGAAACTTGTAGGAGGCATTGCATTTTGTCCTGGATGCCTTAAATGGGACGAGACTTCAGTAGAAGTTTGGCCTATTTGTTTCAAACACTTTCGAACTTACTTCATTCATGGGGAGAACATGAATGAACCTGTCTGAGGATACCTTAGTTTTGCAGGATGAAGAAAGCGAATTAACTGATTTTCTTTAGTGGAAGGAGTGAGTTGTACCAGACTGGAGTTGATAGGGAACAAGAAAACGCTTCAGATGAACACAACATTTCCGCTGCTTTTTACTGCTTTGCATCGTGGAGCTTACCTGGGTAAATAAACAGATAACTAAACCGAGAACCAAATGAAAAGCCTCACAGGGCACTCTTGAAGGTGGGCATAAATGCTGTTTGAGTCCAAGAGAGAGCTAGTAGAAACCACTTGATAGGGAAGCAGAAGCCAGCAAGTTTGGAACCTCCTCCAAGTCACTAGGAGAATTTTTCCAGAAGTTTACACGGAACGTGATCCGTTTTTAGCTGTTTCGGGGGGAGGGCTTTCTTAACTCCAGCTGTGGCACGCAGGTGCTAACGGAGAGCTTCCTTTTATTTCGCTGTGATGACGGGGTGACGTGCGATGCATTAGGAAACCAGCCGTTCCTTTCCTGTCACATCAAGTATCCTACCTGCACTGAACTGTGCTCCTCCAGCAGAAATTACTAGTGTTTGTTGTTCCGACAGCCTGGCAGTTGGAAAGAAGGCACGGCTCTTATTTCAAGGTATCGAGAGCAGTTCTCTTGCTCATTTGTTGATAAAGGAGACCCAGTTGAAATGCCAGGAAAAAACAAAAAAAAAAAAAGATAAAATACCAGAAATTAGTCGTGCAGCTCCAGTCGGATCACACAACCCAGAGGCTGTTTTCTATACCTGGCAAACTTCTGCTCACCTCTGTTAGTGTTGTAAGAGAAGCCTTCCTAAGCCCCTCCTAAGTGAGGGACTCGCATTATGATGGCAAATCACAGTGTTTCTTTTTTCCTTGATGCCTTCTTTTCCATGCCTATCCGATCCTCAGATTCGACACATAAACTAAAAGTGGGGTGCACTCATTCTGTCACGTCTGTCCCTCTTGAGGCAGTGCGCTCCTTACAGGCACGGTCCCGGTCTATTTTGCTCACCATTATGAACGTAGAAGTCGGTGAGTAGAGTAAGCACCAAGGAAAAACTTGTCCGGTGAATGAATGAATAAGAAAGCACGCTGTATACCTGAAACTAATATAATATGGTGCATCGCTTATAACTCAATTAAAAAAAAAAAGAAAAAGCAGAAGAAAACGCTTGGTAAACTGCAGTCACTATGAAAGCCCAGGTTAATCATAATAGCAGACACCTTTCTCCCTTCTGTCCTGACTTTTTGGGGGACGGTTTTTTTTTTTTTTTAAGTTCATCTGAGGTATACTTGTCAGTGTTTTACGGATTCTCAATCTGATTCGCTGTCATTCGTTTTGGCCTCTTTCTGAGATGAGGAGCACACGTTGCCCTCAAAAATAGCGTTACCCCCACAGTGCCAGGACTGGGTCCCGCCCTCGCTCGGGGCACCCTTTTGGCTCTAAGAGGGAAACGTGGCAGCCAGCCGCCTGTGGATGATTGGGAAGCAGACAGGGGTCTGGCGTAGCGCTTCGGTCCTACGTGTCTCGTCGTCCCCGAGGCCACTCATGTAAGTCCCTGTACCTCAAGCACGCTCCTCGAGAATACGCAAGTCAAAATAATGTGATACTATTGGCCCGGCGAAAGCTGTTCCTGGCTCTGTCCTAAAGGAGGGGGAAAAAAATCAAGAAGTCCAGGTGTGGAAAACATTAAGGATCAGGATATGAATGGGTCTTTTCTTTAAAAGCAACAAACAAACAAAAATTCTCCAGTCCTTCTCCAGCAGGGCCTCAGCGTGCCTCTTCTGTGTATGTGTGGAAGTGTTATCCTCGGTGGGCGGGAATGGCAGACAGCCAAGTGGAAAATTTCACAGCCCTGCAAACCTCCAGCTCACTAAACCCTGTAAACCAGCAATCGGAGGGAGCCGTGTGGCAGGGACCAAATAACGATGCGCCTGCACATGCCTCAGTCACCCACCTTCCACTCCCCCCTTCCCTTTGCTTCCGGCTCTGATCCAGCCTGCACTTTCTCTCTCTCTCTGAGCCTCCCGACAGCTCTGCTTCCGGTCCTTGGGCCTCCCTGGACCCCTCAATGGAAGGGGAGTTGTAGCACAGCGGCCCGTGCAGACTTTTGCACGTTTCGGTGCCCCAGGGATAGTTGACTGTTGGTGCCTGGCCAAAACTGGCTTTTAAATCCTGGCTCCGAGCTCAGTAACAGGCTTATGACCACTAATAATACTTGGCGTTTACATAGTGCCTTTCTTCCCGGGAACTGTGAGTACTTTGCAAGAGTGATCCTACTGATCTTTGCAACAACCCAGTGAGGTATGAAAACGGCAGAAGGTGATGGTCCTAGCTCCCTCCCTTTTGCAGAGAGTGAAATCAACTGGCATGTTTTGAGGCTGTGTTGCAAATTTGCATCTCAGCTGGGATTGCATCAGAAGTCTCCCAGAATTGTCTTCAACTTTATGGGTGGCAGTGGTGGGGGGGGGTGGGCGGGGGTTGCGGGTAGGGACAGGGCAGGGAGGGTCGCGAGCGACCTGCGGGGAGAAGGCTGGCCAGACCACGCCGTGTCTCCTGGGTCAGGAGCAAAGATACTAAATTTCTCTTTGAAGGCAAGGGTACTGGAAAATGGTCTCTGGTGAGCTGTCAGTCTAATTGATCTGATCGCGAGACTTCTTTTGTTGAGATAAGGAGTGATTGGATGATGCATTTACCTTTTTCTTTTTCTTCTTTTCTGCTACTCCCGTGCTAGGTATTTCTCACTCCTCTGGAAGGAAGAAAGAACACGCCTGAGCCGGGAGCACTCCAGCGTCTTGTGGGAAGTCTCCATGGTGAAGGATAAGCCAGGGCTACCTGTGAACAGCGCACAGTGAATGTTGTAAGTTAACCAGAGCGCTGCGGTGGCTTGCCTTGGAAGGTTTTGTGAATCATTGGATGTCACTGAGCCAGGGCGATGAAGGGGTATTAGCATGAGTTCTAAGTGATCATCCAATTAATTTCTTTTTTTAGAGGAGTGGTTCTGTCTTTCTTTGCCGTGAGCCTGTCTTTCTCTCGGCTTCTGTGGGGCACTGCTCATTATCTACGTCTGGTGTACAAGAGACGAATATAGTGATTCCTTTCGCTGTTGGAACGCCCTTTCTCCTGGTACACTTACGCAGTGTCAGGTTCAGAGCAAACTCTTTCAACTGGGCTATTACAATTCTTTTAGGTTGGTGGGTAGGGAGTCAAATCCTCTGGGCTAAGGATCAGCAACCGGGATTTCCACCCAGCAATTATGTTTATTTATGTGAAGTTTTTTTCTGGAATGAATTTTTTTTTTCCTGGCTTTCAAAAATCTGAGGTATGCAAATACAGTCGGTGGTTTTTGGGTGCTTCTCTTATTCAAAACGGGCTGATTTACTGGTTGGTATTAAGGTGCAGGGGCAGGATTTGGAGGTTAGTAAAGTATCAGCTGCGGGTTGCTTTTCACAAGGAACTTTAGTATCGAGGAGTTGAAGAGATAGCACACTATGGATATCAAGGAGCTTATCCGCCACAAAACTCAGGAACTGGACCAGCTGTGTTGCTTTCTGGAGATTTTACCTCATTGCTAAATTGTGTCCAAAAAAGAAAAGAAAGAAGTTGACAAAGTTTTAATGGGGGAAAGAATACAGCTGCAGGAAACCCAGGATTGGCTGTCAATGTATTGTCTTCAAGTTTTAGAAAACTAAGAACCAGCTTTGACCAGGACTCTGCGTGTGTGTGTGTGTGTGTGTGTGTGTGTGTGTGTGTGTAAAATACATACATGCATATTTATATACATACATATTTAATATATATCATGTATTTGTGTATATATTAAATATACATAAATACAGGGGCGCCTGGGTGGCGCAGTCGGTTAAGCGTCCGACTTCAGCCAGGTCACGATCTCACAGTCCGTGGGTTCGAGCCCCGCGTCGGGCTCTGGGCTGATGGCTCAGAGCCTGGAGCCTGTTTCCGATTCTGTGTCTCCCTCTCTCTCTGCCCCTCCCCCGTTCATGCTCTGTCTCTCTCTGTCCCAAAAATAAATAAACGTTGAAAAAAAAAATTAAAAAAAAAATATACATAAATACATATATTTGTATGTATGTATACATATGTAATTTTATATAATAAGTTTTTAGCTTATTCAAAAAAATTTTTTTAATGTTTAGTTTTTGAGAAAGAGAGAGAGGGAGACAGGCATGAGTGAGGGAGGGGCAGAGAGAAGGAGACCCAGAATCCGAAGCAGGCTCCAGGCTCCAAGCTGTCAGCCCAGAGCCCCATGTGGGGCTCGAACTCATAAACCGTGAGATCATGACCCAAGCCAAAGCTGGATGCTTAACTGACTGAGCCACCCAGGCGCCCCTCTTTTTAGCTTCTTAATAATTCAGTCAGGAAGTTTTCCAGGCATTTTTTTCACCTCTATTTTTCCAGTTGCACAAATGATTTTGAGAGAGTAAGATACTGCAGCGGGAGGAGTGCGTATATCAGTGAGGGAAAGCATTGACACTGAAAAATAAAATTTCCACTGCATTTTTTTTATTTCATGGTTTTCTGAAAATTTGTATTAAAATCTGCTGCTTTATCCATATTTCCTCAGAGTTAAATTGTCCTATTAAAATAAGCTTATTAAATTTAAAATCTCCCAGTGCCACATGTCACTGGTGGAAAACACTGGAGTTTTAGTGTGTTAGCCTTTCGTGCATGTGATCATGCTGGTTCTGGTGAAAATATATAGCTCCCAGAATCAACAGACCCGAACTTGATTCCTGGTCCTATGGTTCGGGTCAAGAAAGTCTGAAACCTTTGGCAAGTCACTACCCCCCATGAAGTGTTATTTTGTTAAGTCTGTATGTTACTCTTTTATTTTGTACGTCTATATGCAACAACAATTAACCTGTTAATCGATAGGTTGACATCTTCGTTTGGGGTCCCTGTAAGGGGCACAGTGTTGTGTAAGGCACTTGAATACTTACTAAAAAATCTCTCATTGTAAAAATTTCTGTCACTGTTGGGGTACCTGGGTGGCTCAGTCGGTTGAGCATCCGACTTCGGCTCAGGTCATGATCTCGCGGTTCATGAGTTCAAGCCCCGCGTCGGGCTCTGTGCTGACAGCTCAGAGCCTGGAGCCTGTTTCGGATTCTATGTCTCCCTCTCTCTCTGACCGCCCCCCCCCACTCTCGCTCTGTCTCTCTCTTTCTCTCTCTCTCTCAAAAATAAACATTAAAAAAATTTTTTTTAACTTTCTGTCACTATTAAGGAATAATTTGGATCCTAGAGTAGTAGTGCATTTTACTAGAAATGATCTTCCCAATCAGGTGGCCTTGAGAATACACTTTTGGTGACTTCTTTATCTCTGGTGATATTTTAGAAAGCGTTTTCATCTCAGGAAACAAGTGTCTTATGGAAAAAACGCTCTAGGTTTCAGGTTACATTTAAATGAATAATGCAGATACTAAAATCAAAATAGCTTTTGTTTCAAATCTGGTGGGTTTTTTTTTTTTAAAACCGTTGCTTTGAAATGCTCATGTGATACCCTGTCAAACCCCAAACATTAAATGAGGTTTTCAAAGAAGTTCTGAAGTGTAAAATTGAAGATGCCACATGGCCAACTAAAGTAATTTTAAAATCCTTCTGTGAAGGGAGTGTGTTGTGAGAAAGGAAGAAAGTACTAAATTCTAGTGAACTCCTTCAGAGCTTAGGACTTCCTCTTCCAGACTGCACTTGCCTTGTAGGGAGTGGCAGGGGGGGCAGGGTCCCAGTTGTCTCAGCAAGTTGTGAAATGAGTCATCTTGGCCATTAGTAATCTTTTAGGATCCTAGCGCTTTTTTACATTGAGTTCATACTTTGGGGTCCTTGGTGTCCGAAAGCCTATGCCGTAGGGAAGACAGGAGATTTTCAAAGAACGTGTGCTCGCACATAGATGGTGTCGGAATGTAGAGAAACGTTGGAGGAACTGTCATAGCAGCCATTGGAATGAGCGGCTTCTGTCCTCAGAATGCCTTGCAGATTGCACCACAAACATATTGCCTCTGCAGGACCCCTCGGCCTGTTGCCACTAACCGCCTCTCAAATCTGCCACTGTGTTTCTGGCAGATGAACGTCGCTCCTGGAAGTGTCTCAGACTGTGGTATCTTTGTACGAGAAGGGGATGGTAAGGAAAACTTACCTACGGGTCAGGAGATCCGGGTTTTCTGCATGATGTTGCAGTCAACCTTGGAACTTTGGAACCCCTAGAGCCCCAGGGGCCTGATTTAGGAGGAGTAACATGAGAAAGTTGAGTTAAGTGGCCTCTGGTGGTTCTTCCTGCCCTACATGTCACGTTGCATAATGTATCAGCTTGGAGGAGGCAGGCTGGACCTTGCTTTTACCCCGTTTGGCTTCTAAAAGTCAATGATTTGGCACGACTTCAATTTACAACCGCTTTTTTTTTTTAAGTTTATTTCTTCATTTTGAGAGAGAGAGAGAGAGAGCACAACTGGGAGGGGCAGAGAGGGAGAGACAGAATCCCAAGCGGGCTCTGCTCCATCAGTGCTCAAACTCACGAACTGTGAGATCATGACCTGAGCGGAGATCGAGAGTCAGGTGCCTAACCAACTATACCACCCAGGTGCATATAACTGCTTTATAAAATGTTGAACATAATCTTATGGCAAAAAACCCACGATAGATAGATAGATAGATAGATAGATAGATAGATAGAGTGTGAGTTTGTCATCATCATGACATCCTTTCCACAGGACCCTCCCAGATACCGTAGGACAACTCAAAGGTGTTCATTTGAGTGCCTTCTAAGAGTACAGTTTTAGTCATTTAAATCAGTCATTTAAATTAAATGTAGTCATTTAAATTTAAATTTCGTCATTTAAACCACAAGTCATTGGTTTTTTGAAAATTAAATACGAGCCACTTTTGAAACTAAGTTTTTAAAAACTGTCCCCCTCCACTCAAATATTGCTTTGCGTACATGCAAGGAGGCAGTGATGATCTCTATTTTCTTTCTTAAGCTTTTCTGCTTCTCGAGTTACCTTTCAGAGCAGCCTCTCCTGACCTGTGTAGCACCCACCTCGTCCCTCTGTGCTCGCTAGCCTACTTCATTTTCCTTTGAATCACCTATGTATTACATATTTACTTGTTAATTGTCCATTTCCTCAACCAGACTGTATGCCCCATGAAAGCAGGGATATTATTATTATTATTATTATTATTATCATCATCATTATTATCAGATGGATCCACAACACCTGTGGCTGAGTACTGAGTGGGTACTCAGAAAATAGTTGACTGAATGTCTAAGGAAAGTGTTAGTTACCCCTTAGAAAAGGGAATATAAACACGGTTCTCATGAGACTTGCTTGAATCTGATAGTCGTTTCATCATGTAGGGGGGTGGCCTGGAGAGATCATCTATTTTCTTTTCCTTAGAAATAGACACTAAGTGTCTGTGATGGGTATAAGTAAATGTGGGAAAGGAAACAATTTGTTTTAAAAAATGTTTTATAGAACTATCAATAGAGTTTGGGGATTTTCTGATACTTAAAAAAAAAATCCTGTATGGTGCTGCACCTTGTGTATTTCCTCTCATTTTCCATTTGAGTGGTTCGCTTCATCAGTTGTTTTTGAGCTGCCTGACCTGGCTTTCTGTGAATGGTGGTGTTGTCTCTTACCGTCACACCGTTTCATTACCTTCGATGCTTGTTCCCAAAGCGGGAGCCAGGCTTGAAGGACAGGATCTACCTAAAAAGAAACTCACCATTTACTGAATAGCATCATTTACATTTCCTTCACTTCTGGATGGTGCACAAATTGGGTCAAGGAAATAGTATGCCCATACCAGTTAGGTCCATCCAACGGCTCCACGGTGTGAGAGAGGGAA